TCACCATGTTCCAGTATTTAAAGGGTGGCTACAAAGAAAATGGACACTTTCTTTTTACGAAGAGTCACATGAAAAAGATGGGGAGTGATGGGTACAAGTTACTTCTGGGGAGATTCTGATTGGACACAAGAAGAAAATTTTTCACAGTGAGAACAATCGGCCACTGGGATAATCTCCCCAGGGAAGTGGTGGATTCCCCAACATTGGACACTTTTAAGATTCAGCTGGACAGGGTGCTGAACCATCTCATCTAAACAGTGCTTTTGCCAAGAAAAATGGCAAAGAAATGATCCCTGAGGTCCCTTCCAACCTGGTATTCTATGATTTGATGATTCTATGAATGGTTTTCTTTTATATCCATCAATCTCCCTCTCCCAAAATGCAGCAGTTCCTTTAAGTCCACTTGAGTGCTAAGAAAAATCTACACCAACCCAGAAAGCCTGTAGGAGCTCTGCTGGCTGACTGGGATTGTCCCTCTTGCAGCAGGATCATGAGCAGTATTTGCAGCAGAGTTCATGGGAGCTACTGCTGGGAGTAGCTGGGTTTTCCAGAGACACCCTTCATCTAAACAGTGCTTTTGCCAAGAAAAATGGCAAAGAAATGATCCCTGAGGTCCCTTCCAACCTGGTATTCTATGATTTGATGATTCTATGAATGGTTTTCTTTTATATCCATCAATCTCCCTCTCCCAAAATGCAGCAGTTCCTTTAAGTCCACTTGAGTGCTAAGAAAAATCTACACCAACCCAGAAAGCCTGTAGGAGCTCTGCTGGCTGACTGGGATTGTCCCTCTTGCAGCAGGATCATGAGCAGTATTTGCAGCAGAGTTCATGGGAGCTACTGCTGGGAGTAGCTGGGTTTTCCAGAGACCCCCTCCAGCTGTAGTATGTATGGCCACTTGGCAGCAGAACGGTTCCTTCCACGCACACGTGAACCCATCTGAACTGTACCTTTAAAGCCCTTGTGTTCAAAATAGGTCTCCTACCCAACTTAGTTAACAGTGCAGTTTTCCACTTTGGGGACAGAAACTAATTTCAGAGTTAAAACAGTGGGAGTATCAAAGATGCCTTGACATATGCCTTGGGCAGGAGGGATGCCACAGGCTGTGATGTTTGCTGGCCTCTCCCATAAAGAGGCGGGACATGAAACAACATATAAATACAATCCACCTAAATATTGCAAACTGAGTGTGTGATAAACATCCAGACAGAAAGAGGCAGACAGCTCCCACATGCTTGCTCCAGCTACTCTAAGTGGTACATTTCCTGCTAAAGACAATGAAAAGCCAAAAAATTAAAATCCTAAGGACCCAGGAAAGATGAATATGATATCATGAGATGACTAAATGCTACCTGAAAAGTACAATCCTATCAGAGAGAAAGTAAAAGCCAGTAAAGCTGGCCTCGGCCTACCAAATGCTTAGGAAGATATCTGAGTTGCCCTTCTCCCCACCAAAAGTCAACAAAATGAAAACAGTCCTCTTGAGGGTGTCACCTAGCTGGAGTTTGCAGTAGTGGGAGGAGGGCAGCACCATTACTTGGTGGGGGATTGATACAGGTATTTACTCAGTGCATCCTTGAGGTGGTGCAGGAAGCACAGCGTGTTCTCCAGCAGCTGCTCACTTGTGCAGTTGCGCTCCAGCTCCACACAGATGCAGGAGTCTCTCACCGGCATCTCCACAGTACCCAGATCAAGGTGGAACACATGCCCAAGGAGAGGATACAGGGGCACAAGCAGGTGTAGACAGCATTGTTCTCATGACAACTCCAGCCTTCAAAGGTGCTGCATACACGATGGCTGGCTACAGCACCAGGAAGAAATTATGCAAGAAGAGCAACCTGAAAACAGGGAGAAAGTTGACACCAGCTCCTCCACCACCTTCCAATTGCTGGCCACGTTATGCACTGGACACTGAATGCACCTTTGAAAAACGACGCCCAAATTGCTATCATCGTAGAGATCTTCTTCACTTTCTTCCTCCTCCTACCCTTCAACCCCTCCTCCTCTTCCTGCTCCTCTTCCTCTTCCTACTCCATGACGTTCTGGAGCTATCCTCACTGCTGCTGACATCGTCACAGCTCCTTTTCTTGATTTGCCAGCAGAGCCCTAAGAGCAGGACCAGGACTAGAAGAAAGGCTCAGACCTCCCACTGCTGCAAAGCATCAAAAAGCAGGGCTCTCCCGACCATTCTGCTCTGGCTGCGTGTCCAGTGCTCCTGGGTCCCCTGATCCTACTGCTAAAATGGATGAGCCATCTTCTCTTGTGCACAGCTGCAGAGGGTGACGAGCCTTTCTGATTGCCCAAGTGTGGGAGCCTGGACAGGTGGGGGAGCCTTACTTGCAGAATCGTTGACACCAGAGCCCACCACATCAGCTCTTGTCCCAGATGCTCCCTGACTCTGTGGCAGCTCAGTGCTCAGCACCCTATGCCCATTCCTCTCCCATAAAGTGATGCACCAAAGTGATGCACAGACACTCGCAGACACAGTGTTTGCTTAAAAACGTGCCATTGATTGACCTTCGCATATTCTGTCCTCTTTCTCGCCTGTATGAGGTCGTCATCTGCCATCAGCTGTGAGCCCCGCAAACACACCTCTATGCATCAAGAGCTCCTTCAGCGGCCGTAGAGAAGCAGTCTTCTGAGCCTATCTCGCAGCTCCACAAACTCACCCAGTGCCTGGGCGTGGGCGTCCAGATCCTGCGCCAGGTTCTTGAAGAGGTTGAGTGGCTCCGCCGTGCGGAAGTCCGGGGGCAAGATGATCTCCTCGGGCACGTTCTCATTGCCAAAGAAGAAGTGGTCGAGCCATTTCTGCTCCAGGCAGGCATGCAGGTAGCCCATGATGTCCTCCAGCCGCAGCAGGCAATCCCTCCTGCGCCAGCCTGACACGGGTGTGGTGGTCAGGAGGTGCATCACAGCTGTCTTCAGGGTGTAGGTGGAAAGGCCCATGCCCACCAAGATGCGAGCACAGATCTGCAGGCACCTGAGGTGGAAGCCCAACAGCATCTCAATGCAGAGGCTTTGCTTTTTGTCTTTTGTCACTTTGAATTTGCAGGAGTGGCTGAGGGGCCAGCAGGAGGAGCGAGAGCAGGGGTTCAGTGGGGCTGTGAGGGAGCCTGCATCCAGCCCCGCTGCTGCCAGCGCTGTGCCCTGCCCAAGGCGCTCCCGCCAGTGCCTGGGCCCTGGGTGCAGGCTGAGAACTCACCCACGGAGCCCCACATTCCTGCCCCAGAATCTTATCTTTGAGCTAATTTTTCAACCACAGGTGCACAAAATATTTAGCTCAAAGATGTGACTCTAATCCATCAAGGTCGTTAAGGCTGCCTGTGGCCAACTGATTCCCAAACCCCAGTACAAGAAAGATGACGAGGTACTGGGAGGGAGTCCAGCGGAGGGCTATGAAGATGATGAGGGGACTGGAGCATCTCTCCTACAAGGAAAGGCCAACGGAGCTGGGCTTGTTGAGAGTGAAGAAGAGAAGGCGGAGAGGGGACCTTATAAATGCTTATAAATAGCTCATGGGTGGGTGTTAGGAGGATGGGGCCAGACTCTTTTCAGTGATGCCCAGCAACAGGACAAGGGGCAACGGGCACAAACTGAAGCATAGGAAGTTCTATCTGAAGACGAGGAAGAACTTCTTTACTTTGAGGGTGACCGAGTGAGGAGATTGACGACACGGACTCCGATATCCAAATCAAAGACCCTTTATTTATCAGAAAGCTGCTTATTATACCCTTGCAAAGCTGTCCATGCGCTCCAACCCAAATGCTTGTTGATTAACATACATTGTTCATGTGCCTATTCTAAACATTCAATTGGCTAGCTTAGCTGTGTATGATTTCTCCTTCGTTTGCTCTGGGTGTTCTGCCAAAGTCCTCTGTTGCAACTGGTAAAGTCCTTATTTTTCTCGTATTCAGAAACTCTCAACGACATCATGACCTTCGTTGATATAGAATGTTCCCACAACAGAGCCCAGGCTGTCCGGAGAGATTGTGGAGTCTCCTTCTCCAGAGACATTTGTAACCTATCTTGATGAGGTCCTGCGCAACTTGGTTGAGGTGAACCTGCTTTGCAAGAGCAGTTGGACTTGATGGTCCCCAGAGGTCTCTTCCAACCCTACCGTTTTGTCTTTCTGGGATCCTCGTGAGTCACTTCCAGCTCCGGGTATTCCATGATTCTGAGATTGCCAATGGCAGGCCGGTCATCATAAATCCCAAATGAAGCATCAGGCAAGCTCCTGTGATAGAAAATGAATTCTAGGCCAATCTCAACCAGTACAGCAGGACAGCTGTGGGACACAGAGTCGGGGTGGGGCCACAGGCCGGCGGGTGAGACTGTGATGTGCTCAGGTGCCCGTGACATCACAGGGGACGCATCATAATGGGGGCGGATAGATCAGGGCACCGGTCGGCAGCGCTGCCCCAGTACAGCCTAGGCAAGAGGTGAGTGCGCATGCGGGGGGAGGCTGGGCTGGGCGAGGGCCGGGGCAGGATGCACTCCCCCAAACCTGTGCACACCGCAGCGGTCACTAGCATCCAGACTTCTTTCTTGAGCTCGCAGCAGGGCTCGCAACTAGCCACTGCCTCCCAGCTGCCTCAGCCCCTCTCCTACCTGTCCCCAGCTCCCTGCGGCTCCTGTCCCCACTCCCTCCCTCACAGCCCCACTGAACCCCTCCTCTCCCTCCTTCTGCAGGCCATGGCTTTCACAGGGTTCTTTGCCACGGTTTTGCAAATCCTCATCCAGTACCCACGGATGGTCGGGGATGAGCTGGATGAGGCCACGCGCAAGCGCATGCAGCAGCATGCGGAGCAGCTGAGCCGGGAGATGACTCGGCTGCTGCGGGACATTGAGCAGAAGCGCCAGGAGCAGAGGAGACTGGAGCGGAGGAGTCCACAGCAGAGCAGCTTTGCCTGGGGAGCCCTGCTCTTCGCTGCCTTGCAGCAGTGGCAGTTCTGGGTCATTGCTGGTGTCCTGCTCCTGCTCTGCGGGCTCTGCTGGTGGCTCAGGAGATGGAGCCATGAGCTGGACAGGAACAGCGACGAGGACAGCTCCAGCAGCGCCAGGGACTCGGTGGAGGAAGAGCCAGAGGAGGAAGGAGACAATGATGATGCAAATGACCTGGGAAGGTTTCTTGAGGAGCACATACAGTGGCCAGTTCAGAACCTGGCCTCAGAGTGCCATCAGGTGGAGGTACTGATGTCCAAATTCATCCTTGTCTTCAGACTGCTCTTGCGTAATAGTTTCTTCCCGGTGCCGCAGCCAGCCATCGGGGTGGGCAGCGCCTTCGAAGGTTGGAGCCCCCGTGAGACAGACATCACGTACCGCATGCTCGTGCCCCTGCAGTCCCCTCGGGGCTGCGCCTTCCACCTGGAGCTGGGCACGGTGGAGCAGATGCTGGCCAGGAACTTCCGCATCCACGTCGAGCCGGTGTGCACCTGCCAGAGGCAGCAGCTGCCAGGAGAGATGCTGTGCTTCCTGCACCAGTCTGAGGAGGAGCTGAGGAGGAATCAGGAGCCCAGCCTCCTACAATGCCTCTGCACCGGCTCCTACCTAGATGTGCACAAAACCGCCCGCTGGATCTATCAGCTGGTGAGAGCATCCTGGGTGGTTTTGCCTGAGTCATCTCATTGCCGTCTAACGATGCTGCCCCTCAGCCGCTCCTGCAAATTCAAGGTGACAAAAGACAACAAGCAAAGCCTCTGCATTGAGATGATGTTTGGGGTGCAGCAAGGCAAAACGGACATCTTTGTGAGCAGCCAGAGTACAGAGGCCACCTTCAGCCCAAGCACGATGTGGTCAGAGAGCTATGCTGTGGCGGAAGCAAAGTTCTTCAGGCACATGGCCACGCAGGCCCCGAAGGACAGCTTCCACCTCAGGTGCCTGCAGATCTGTGCTCGCATCTTGGTGGGCATGGGCTTTTCCACCTACAACCTGAAGACAGCTGTGATGCACCTCCTGACC